AGCAGGCCACAGTTGGCAATTTGAACTCCAGGATTGGAAACTGCACGTTTCAAATTCCTCTGATAGAGAATTCAGAAGCAAGAAAGACTTGCAAAAAACTGAACACGAAGCAGTCAAGACAAGTTCACAGTGGTTATGTGAACATTATCAGCAGAACTGCAGAGTGTGAATCCCTTGTTGTATGCTTTTTTTCTATGGTTATGGGTCATTTTGATACAAGTTGATTCAGTCAAGGTGTTAATAGTTTGATACTTGGCTTAAAGAACAAGGAATGAGAAATATTCAACCTAAATGGTATTCTTGTTCATACACAAACTATACTTGAAGTAATGGAAATTGTTGTGCAGTTTCACTGCTTGAGTTTGTATCAAATTTGTATTGAAACAACTTTGTATCAAAGATATTGGTTTCCATTTCTATCCATGCTGTTACTGTCACAACATCTCAAAAGCTTGTGACAATAAAGAGGCAAAAGCTTACCATGTGACTCACAATGAAAACGTGCTCTCACTCTGTCTGTGTCAGATTAAAGTAGAGATTGGTGAAAACAGTGCCAAGTAGCATATGTTGCAGTTAATTTTTTATTTCAGTTAATTTTTATTTTTCTATTGTTTTTGGGTATGGTAATGTTTGCTAATGAATTTTAAACAAAGGGACAACAAAAATTAACTGAAATAAAGAATTAACTGCAACACATACATCTTATTGTAGTTGTGGAGAAAAAAGGACTGCCTATTTCTGCTCCATCTCCAAGCATTTCACCTGAGTGGACAAAAATATTGGGCAAGTATTAAACTTTCATAGCTTTCTTACCCAATGGGCAAGGGTCAAGGCAAGTCATCCTCTAACAAAGTCATCAACTAAGATGAGCAAGAAGTGGCCCTAGCCTGGTAAGCAAAATGTGAGTCATGACTGCTGCATGCCCAAAAGACAGGCTGGAATTCAAGTTTTTTCAAGAGTGCCCTGAACGTGTGTCTAGAAAAACTAGACACTTTCAGGGAAATTTCATTCAGATCATCTACAGAGTAACATAAATTAGTGCTGAAATACAGCCATGCCTGTAACAAAGCAACCATAGAAAGCAAATCTAGTTTTCAATATACAGTTGACTTCCGATAACTTGAACCGTCGCTAACTCGAACCTTGCGCTAACTCGAACCAAAATCGATTTCCCCTAGATTTCCATTATACATTTCCTGCAATTTTACCCTTGGCAACTCGAACCCTTGATAACTTGAACCTCCTGCTAACTCGAAGAAGTTTTTGTTTCCCCTCAGATAATTTCTATATAATTTTACCCTCAATAACTCGAACCATGTTTTGAGCCCTTAAAAAGCCAGGAAAAAACAGTCTACTGGCGTTCGAAACATTGAATTTTGAATTTCCTATTGACGTGTTGAAGGCATATGGTTTACTAGTGGAGGCTTATGTTGTTTGTCATAAATCTAACGTGAAAACAGTTTTACTTCTCAAAACAGTAAAACACATTCTGATTTATAATCTTGACATTTCTACAATTAAATGTGATTAAATTGTTCACTGTGCAGCAAAAACTGATGCTCCTGATGACTTGCACTCCCGATAACTCGAACTTTTTTTGATTTCCCTTGAAGGTTCGAGTTATCGGGAGTCAACTTTAAGTCATATCAGCATAAACTGATTTAAGCTTTAAAGCGAACACTGTGGCTATATGGCTGGCAGTCTGTTAAAAAATTTTTGATAAATTCTGCAAAATTCCTTTTTCTAATAGTTTGAAAGTTACCAGTATTCTATCTTCATTTAGAATTACCAAGCAATTAGGAAAACAATAATGGCTCCGCAGCAGAGTGACTGTTGTTTCTTGGGCATAAAGTAGAGTTGACGCTGTTTCGACACTTAAAAAAAGTTCGTGAGTGGCAGTGCGTGACTTCTTTACCGGCATTTTTTCACACAGGCTAATTACCCGGCAGTCTGCTTTATGATTATCATATGTTTAACCAATTTATTTAAACCTTTTTACCCGCTTGACTACTCTGAAGGTCCATAGAATACTCTCATGGTGTTTAATGTGACACTTTTTGTCGAAATTCCCTAAACAATTGGGATTGCAGGGCATTTAGACTGAAGAGAAATCATGCCCGTAAGTCAACCCCAATATAGACTACTATACTCAAAATCTGGTGATAGCTAACCTCTGGTAAAAATACTCTTTTGTGTCTCATCGCTTAACAATTCTAAACCATGATAAAATATTTTGTGGAGAATACCCAAGATTAAGGGTACCACCAGGGAGTATATCAAGCTGTGTCTCAAGTCCAACTTGAGGAGGCTATGGGTCATGAGAGGTTGCAAAATGAAGAAGTTTCAAAATAATTGAAGCTCTCTCTCTGATTGTTTTGGGAAACTAATTGAAACTAGTATGCATGTATTCTGGAACTTGTCTTAAGAGGAGACTCCCCAGAAGGCTTTTTAACTTTCCAGCTGACTTTCAGATTGCCGGGTTAATTTAGCCTGTGTAAAATCGTGCCCGTGAGTCGGGCGCTGCTAAAAAATGTACTCACGAAATTTTGTCTAGTGTCGAAACGGCGTCGACTCTACTCCGTACCTCGACCACTCTGCTGCGAAGCCATTCCTGTTTTCCTGATCGCTTAGTAATTCTAAATGAAGATAGAATACTTTCAAACGATGAGGAAAAGGGATTTTGCACAAATTCTAGAAAATTTACTGACTGCCGGGCATTTAGTTTTTTCAAGACCCTTCCCCGCTGCAAAGCAAACATGTGAAAGGCTAAAAGTTTGGTTATTAAGTTGCACAGTAACTTACCAGAGATCAAGGCCTCTACAACAAAAAAGTTATTAAGTTTTCAGCTTAAAAGAAGATAACGATAACAACAAGCCAACTACGAATTATAATCAGCAGGCGTTTAAAATGAACAACAGACTAGCGAATTTGTCAAAAATGTTTCACATCATCCGCCATGATAGTCGAAGCGGTGGACTGGGGCAGGTTCAACACGCTTCCTGCTTAGATCGATGGGAAGAGCACGTGCCTCACATGCAGTCCAGGCTGTGTAAAAACTTTCAAAGGTGTAGAAGTGTAATAATTGTTTTTGGGTCTGGAAAAAACAAAAACAAAAAAAAAACAAAAAAACATTTAGTGAAATCACACTTGTAAAGCGAGTTTTACTGAAGTAAGTCCACCCGGACCCTGTAGACGGTATGTCACTATTCGCCATGTTTTTTAATTGTCGAAACGTTTTTTGGCATCAAATGAATACCAAAAAAAATAATATTTAGGCATTGGAATTTTTTTCTTGCTGGGGTGAATGGGCATGGATGGGAACTTGACTTTAAAAAGTTGAGCCAACTTTTTCAAGTTTTAACGCTATGCCTAGGCCTAGGCCTGCAAAAATCACCAAAAGAAATTTTGGTCAGTGCTCCTTGATTAAATTGGTTTGATATCTTCGTAAAGGGATCTTCAGGTACTAAGCAATAACTTCAGCACATAATTGACCTCAAAACTTCAATATCCTCGTGACATAGCCTCTTTAAACAGTGTGAGCTTTGTTGGGAACAAGATTATTCAAGGGCGATAGTACACCACTTTCCAAAACATCTTTCTTGCACACTTAAAACGGCTGAAAAAGCTAATTCACTGTCTATTAACATTGCAAATAATTTCAGCAAATCTTTTAGTTCAATATCCCAACTTACCTATTTACATTGCCATTTTGGTTAGGAAACTTTTTGTCAGATCAAAAGTTATGGTCTGGCCATAAGAAAAAAATTTCCCTACAAGTAGGTGAAATGGAGGTAATAACACATTCAATGTATAAAGTAAAGTACCAAATGGTATCAGCTATCTTGTGAACACTCACCTTTAAGAAAAATTATCACCTAAGGCCCTTGTCAAACAACGAAATTCAAACTATGACTTCCAGAAATACTGAGTACAGTGAAATATCATCGCAAAACTCCAATGGCTACATGAGTAGTCTACTGTTGTGACTTGAACTGACTAGTGATGAAAGCAAAGTGGCCTCTTTTAAAAAATTGCAAAAGAATGATCAACTGCAGGAACATCTCATGATGACTGAATGACAGTATATATCGATGTGGCCCTTGCTATCTACATCTTGTAACACTTGTTGTGAAATGACTTTATCCTTTCTATTTATTTTATTTTATTTCATTTCTATGGACCTGGAAAATATACTTAAAGCTCTTTCCAGAAAGTATTTATAGCAAGTTAACCATCACACTCTGCACTTCATCAGCTTACATGAACAGATGATAATTCGTACCCCAGAATAAGCTAAATTAGGTTCCCCTGACAACCTCTTACGAGACCTTAACTAAATCATGTGGACACTGCAAAATCGAAACTGATAGTTGACATACATGGCATGTACTTTATTGGAAAAGTGTTGAAAGATTTTTAAAACCTGTCAATTGGTACAAGCATGGCATTTTAGGAGCCATACGTTAGGTTTAAAACATAAATTTCTCGTACTGATTTCTTGAAGGCTCGAAGACTCTTTTTCCTCCCTGGATTCCTTAGATGCTCAGTTTACTTCCTTAGCATTTTACATAACGGATTTCCAGTTCCCTTAAAAGTAATCCAGGAGGGATTTTCATCCTGGTTGGACAAGCTGTTCTCAACAATCTTAGTCTTGAAAGGACTACAGACAAAGCTACACCTTTTTTTCCAGTAGAGAAAAATTACTATAAAATACCGGCTTTCCATTCAACTACAAAAGATATAACAGCTATGCATGTCTCCTCCTCAATCAGCTTACTCTTATTTCTTTTCTTTTTTTCTTTTATGTGTAGGATATCATTTGCATTGTGCCACTGAATTGCTTTTGCAATGTCTCTTTGGCATAGTCAGGCTGATCTTTTGCCTCAAGGATGATCAAAAGGGCTTCCTTGCACTAAAGCATTGGGAGACACTGTTCAGGAAGGCACAAGGTCAACATTGACAATTATATTAGCCTTGTGTGTGTGTGTTTTGAAGTCATTTCAGCAGTTTTGTTGCCTCGGATCAAATGAAGGATAAGCTGATACTCCAACTATAATATCTTCCCCCTCCTTCGGGATGTAGATCACCTCAATTGTGTGGATTGGTGTTATTTTGAAACCTTCAGTTTCATCGATTCCATTCCTAAAGGAGGTGTAAACACCGATGCATCTCTCAAAGCGATAGGTAGCTTTAACGCGGCCCGTGCGTTTGTCTTTAGGACTTTTATGACCCAACAAAACAGCTTCCTGAATCAAACGACGTAATTCTTCATCATCTTTGCACACTGGTGTGTAACCAAAGCCGTCTTCTTTCGGTTTTAGAAAGCACGTTTTCCACCTCGACGCGGACGACAAATTTTCTTTGTTAAAGTTCGCATTACGCCTAAGAAGGACCTCTGCATTCTCTCCCGGTCTGACAATATGAAGGCCGTCCTGAAGATGTGTTTTAAAAAGGGAAAAATTCATGATCGTAAAAGCAGACATTTTCTGGTTTTCTTCGCTTGCTTAAAAATTAAAATTTTACACTGTGTGGGGAAAGAATAAAAGATGGCTGCGGAAAAAGTGTTTGTACCAACCGTCTCTCAGCCCAAACTGACTAAATAGCGACTGGGTACGAGCCTGGCTCTCACTGGGCGTGGATAATGATAATAATAATAATAACAAAGAAAGTTAGGATAAGAGAAAACAGAAACATTCTACCTCAGCGAGCACTTAAGGTCGGATCATAAGTTGAGGTTTTGCATTTTTTTTTTTAAATCATCGAATATTTTGATGGCATATTTTTAGGATAGAAAACATCAGGCCGTGAATGTGTGATCTCGTCTGGCATTCGTTTGGCATATAACAATCTAAGACAAGGACAAAGAAAATATTCATCAAGCTTCCCTGCAGACAGGAGTAGTACCGGGATTGGCCGTTTTTGATCTATTGTTAGAGAATTCTTTCGAAATTACTGATTTAAGCGGTATCCAAACAGGACAAAATGCTGTTGAAAAGAACCTAAAAGCCCTACTTACCGATATAGGTCTCCAAGGTAGAGCTCCCAACCTCTGTCACCCCCAGTTAATTTGGAGACTATGTTTTCAAATCGCGTTGATAACTTGGAGATCGGTTTTCTTTGTACCGACGCTCTTAGAATAATAAATGTTTGTAAATTTTACATCGAAAAATTGTTGAAATTTGTTTTCCTGGACGATCAGGTGTACAATCCTAAGGAATTAATAAATGAAAAAAGATACCTTACCATGTCGTAAGGTGCAGATTTTGGACGGCCATCTTTTTGGAACTGTAAGGTACTTCTCTACCTTTTTAGCTCTTTCCGGATTGTGCTTTGAACTAGGGTCGTTGCAAGGTATTCCGTTGCGCTTTGCTGACACAACGTCTAGTGCGAACACACTCACTGTACAAAAATGTCCTTGAAAAATCAAAAAGTTTCCCTTAAGTGATAAAATTCTTCAACTAACCAGTTTTGGTTAGAAGATAAAATGAAAATATACATCTAAACTGGAATTCAATTTCTTATCACGGTGTTAAATTATATGAAGCAAAATTGTTTTTTCCTAAAAAAAAATATAGCAGGTGTTACGATGCGTCGCAAGGCTGGGAGATCATATAATCTCTAAAAATAAGATGTCGACTAAAAGATAACTAAATATCAAGAATTAATATACATATACTTGTGTAATTACGTTCTATAGTTTCCTTCAATTACCGAAATAAAATTAAAGTTTAAGAATTTTGAAAACCTAAAGAAGTTTGAAAGTTTGAAAGTTTAAGTACCTGCTATACTGAATTATATATAACCGCATATGACTATGAAAATAAGTTTGGTTATTAAGTTGCACAGTAACTTACCAGAGATCAAGGCCTCTACAACAAAAAAGTTATTAAGAACTTTGAAAACCTAAAGAAGTTTGAAAGTTTGAAAGTTTATGTACCTGCTATACTGAATTATATATAACCGCCAGGGGGGGGCCCACGACTTAGCGAAATTTCGTGTACCTATGATCCACCGATTTATGACATCACATCCGGTTTCAGAGTTGCTCCTCTGTTTTCGCGCGAGGCACAAAGATGGACGCCCAGTGCTATTTGGTTTCTTCGTTATTTTAACCCAAAGGCTAACGGAATTATGTATCTTGAATACCGAGAATGTTGAAAAGGTATCTAGCCGGCCTTTCAAGCAAATGTCATGACCAAACAAAGAAGTTTTAGTATTATTTTAACGATAAATATCATGCAGCTGCGAGGAATGTCATGGCGAGTCTTGCGATGTTTCAAAACGAGTGTCGTTAACGTTTTGCGGCTTTTGCGGCCTCTGATTTAGAGAATTCATCAATCAAAATATAATTTCCTGAGCGGAATAGAATGGAAAAAACGCCGATGGCCACAGTTTAAAGTGTTCACCGCTGGAAGGTTGTTATCACGCCCCGTAAAGTTGCAGAAACTTCCACTCAACTGCACGGTTTTGAGGAATGTCATGGCGAGTCTTTTGCTGTTTGTAATCGTGCGTCACTCAAGAGTTTGGCTTTTGCGGCTTCCGATTCATCGAAGTCGTCAATCAAAATTGCCTATCCTGAGCTAAATACCGTGGGGAAAAAGCTTGTGGTCACAGTTTAAAGTGTTAACAGCTGGAAGGCTTTGCCACTCGACGTA